CAAATCTGGACTAGTTGACGCAACTGTAGATAACATGTGCAATTGTTTACTTATTACTCATGTTCTACGGTGAATAACATCAATGTAGTTTTTTTTCAAGCGATAAAATTCCACTCTCTTTCAACTGTGCGACGATTAGGGTTACCATCTTCAAAATGTCCATTTTTAACGGGTTTGCTATATAAAAACAGGTGCCGGGTGGAGGCATTTGAGTGGGAAATTTTACGCACTTATCCGAGTATCCTAAAACTAGAACTAGAACAAATGCGGAAAGGAGCAGTGATCCCAATCGCCCTGTCCGTCCTTCTTTAGGGTGCATGGCAGGACAGTCCACAGGCTGTAGTCTGCCATTTTCTGGGTCCTCGGGCCGGCTATGCCCTGGGGATACAGACGAGATGGGCAGCGGGGAACAGCCGACTTGGGAATTCTATACCGACCAAGACTCCGGAGGTAGCGAATTGAAGTGTTAAGAGGCATGAGATTCCTACCAGTGCATCACTCTGATCCGAGCTTTGGGGAGAGGGCACGGGTTATCGGGCTACTTTGGACCACCGTATTATCGCCTAACGCTACCGACCCCGAAACACATTCGCTCTGGGGAGCTGTAGTTATCAGTGTATCAAGTCGGTCTACTAAACGCGAAATAATCCGAAAAAAAAACCCCTGCTAAATTGGAAGAAGTCTGAAGATCAAATGTGGACCCAATGTTGGCATCAGGGAAATCGAGAGGCCGAATAAAGCCTTGTGCTATTTGGTGATCTTGTAGGGCACAGTTCCTGGCCTCCTGAATTGTACTACGGATTTCTGTTAGAGTCGTGTTTTATGTTGGCCGGCTAAACTAGCAATCTGGAGTATTGCTAGTTTGATCGGGTACCTAAGTAAGCCTACACACTTGGCAAATATCCTCCCCCAAAGTGAAAGGTTACAGTACCCGTCCAAGTTCGCTGAAATTTTATTATCCTGAACGACCAAAAGAAAGAGTGGGGTACAGAACACATCCCGCTTGAAAATTCTCTTCGGGTGTCAGGTGTCCTTTGCCTAGCCTTCGCTATGCGCGCATGCCACACTTTTCCGCATACTCAATTGTGGTATAATAACTTGCGTAATCCAACCGTCCTCGGAGCTGGAAGGAGAGTGTTAGGTCACGTGGCTGAGCGGTCCCTAGCGCCAAGAGTCCACTGTTCGTGATATAAAATAAATTAAGTCAGGGCTGTTCCCATCTACGCGTTCTAGGACAAGAGCAGGGTGAAAAGAATGCGAGAAAGAGATATTTTCGGATAATTGGCTAATCGAGTTTGGCAATCTTGGGTGTTGGTGCCTTTTGTACCATTCAAATATTTTTACTTCATAACAGCTTAAGAGCTTCCCGAGCCCTATAGCCACATCAACCCCCCCCCGCGGTATCTCCCCGACCTAGCGCGTTCTAGTCCTCCGGAGTCACGGCAAACCAGACCACTGCAATATGCCTAATTTTTCAAGGGATAATCCAATGACCTTTTTCTAAACTAATTAACTTGATCTGGTGAAATAATTTTGTTCTCCGTAGAGATTGAGTGGCTATTTACCTGTTTGACCCTCTTCGGTGCGTTAGACGAAGGTGGTGGCAATTTCTAGCCAACTCAAGTCTCACATACGGTTAGGTGGATGCAATCTCCACAATCCAGTCTACGAGTGCGGCCGATAGATATATTCGTCATGCGATAAGCTGGAGTCGAGCGGGAAGTTGCAACGAGCGAGAAACTAAACACCATACATTAAAACTCAAGATACTTTAAGAACAAGTAGGCCATAAACAGGGAGCTTAAAATAAATTGCAAAAATAGAAGAAAGGGAGAGTTGGAAGAAAACAAAAGATAGAACTAAAATCAGTCATGAAAACTGTTACTGCCAGTATTCTTAATAACAAGTTACAACTTATTTTGAAGATCTAAATAGTGATGATTAATGAGATCAATCAGTACTTTCTCTGACTCCAATACAAGAGCTGCTATCACCTGATCCTTTGTAGTATGACTTTGACCTTTGAACTCATACTCTTGCAGTAAGTCTTTTAAATAGTTCCAAAGTGGTTCTATTTTGTTCAGATGGTATAATGTGTTTGCACCAGGGTGCTTGCTAGTCATGCTTCTGGGTACAATAGGAGTAGCACATAAGTTGATCTACAAATTGTAGGCATACTGCACTAAGAGAGGCTCAAAAAGAAAGATATATAAAATAGGTACTTCAAGAGATAACTATTCAACCAAGTGTATAAGAATACTATCTGTCAAAGTCTGCTATTCCATCAAGGGAATGAGCAGTTTTTAAATACATAATTCCATCCATGTCCTGCATGGGCAATTTTCTAAGTATTCCTCAAGCCAGGAGATTTTGAACGAGCAGTGGAACGACGGTCATGGTCGCAATGGTGAACGAACAAGGATCATGGCAATGGGCCAATTGGAAGCCAGCCAAGTGATGGGCTGTGAAATGAAATAATGCCAAGCTTAAGCATGCAAAAGAATAGCACAAGGCAAAGAAAAAACTTTTCACTTTCACTCTCTCCCACTCTCCTATCTATCGTATACTCTACTAACTAATGGTAAACATAGGAGAATATATCTGCTACAGGCAACACCTGACAAACCACAAAGTCTCTCCTCACCCCCCCCCTAAGTAAGTTCTCTGCTTCCCTTTCTCAAGCAAACACAAACTAACAAAGCAAAGACAAACTGATACCTCCCCACCCCCTCCAGGTAAGCCCCAGTATCCTTCAAGTAAACAAGAAAGAAAAGCTACAAACAAAGAATAGAAAGACAAACTTGTGCTTCCGCCATTTGCTATTCTGCGGTGCTCTTCCGCCACACTTTCCAGTTCTCCTTCTCCCCATAGTACATTCCCATGCTCTCTGTCATGCTCTGGTGCTCTTCTTTCAGTCCTCCACCACACTCCTTCCCTGTGCCCCGCCAAGTGCTCTCTGTCACCCTCCAGTGCTCTTGCCATCATGCTATATTTCCTGTGCACTATCCCAGTGCTTCACTGCCATTCTCTCTGTGCTCCTGCACTCTGCCGCCATTCTCTTCCACTCTGCTGTGCACTTCCAAAGTGCACTTCCAAAGTGCTTTTCCAAAAAACTAACAAACAAGCAAACAAGCAAACCAATGTAGGATGGGAAAAGGGGGGGAGGATAAGGGAATGGAGAGGGTGTAGGGAATGGGGAAGGGGGGAAAGAGTACTAGTAGGAGGGTACTGGGCAGGTGTGAGGAGCAGCTTGGACTTCCAACAGGAGACACTTCAAACAGCTAGGGCATCAAAAGATACTCAAAACCACAAGTAATATAAACTAAGTATTAAGGATACTTGAAACCACAAGTAAAACAAACTTAGTAGTATCCAAAGATACTCAAAACTACAAGTAAAATAAAACATAAACCAAATCCCTGAACCGGATTCCAGTTCCAGTTACTGCCACTGGTGTATCTCAAGATATAAAGGACAAGGAGTACCAGCTGCTATCAAAACTACCCTCCTCATACCACCCCTTCTGTATCTCTGTCTGGAACAATGCTGATTATGATAACACCAAATATGATACCATATGCCACTAGCTTATTCTTGAATATCAGTACTTGGTCAAAGGTGTGGGTGCTACTAATCTGAAGGGTACCAATGTCTTCTTTGCTGGCAGGGAGAGAGGTATAAGAGGTTAATTTAGTAGAGGAAAAGAACAGCACTGGCAGGATGCAAAGTAAGAATCCTGGTGTAAAGTTGACCTCTGGATGCACAGGATTCAGAGACAATTTTTTTGCTGATGTTGAAGTTGCAGCTTTTTATGATCATAAAGAATATGATAGATATGCCAAACATGGACTTAGTTGTCTGGAACCATACTATTACTATTTTGTTAATTAAACTATATTATAATATATTATCATTATTATCCCTTTCTGAGTGGGTCTTGTGGTTATGTACTTGTGGCACTCGTCTGCGAAAACTTTACCGACTGCACTGTACTTCCGATTCGTGGCCTCTAACCTTCCCTACAGACAAAAGACATGACACATTTCATTTTGAACCCTCGGCGGGAGAAGGTGTTTTACCTAATATGTTCATATCGTGATTGTCTTCCGTAAAATCTCGTGAAATCCAATATCTCCGGCCGCCCGTCATCCCACTATGGGTTTAGTTTGACGGGTTAATACAATTGCGAATACCGGTTAGCGAGGTCCAACACACCTAGCGGGCAGAGCTTTTACTATAGCGGGAAAATGCTAGTCCTTCTCGGGGGGCAGCCGAAGGTAGCGGATTTCACGAGATTTTATGGTATTTCAGACATAACAAGCGCTGTCGCACAGCCCCGCCCGTCTAATAGGCAACGTTGGGCGTCCGTATCGTACGAGATGGTTTGTGGTGACGGCTTCTAACAGCTCCAGGTAACCTAAGAATCCCATCGGCCTCACCTTTCTCCAATCAGAGACAAAACACTCCGAGAAGGAATAGTGCTTTCCAGATGGAGTATAGCTTGGAGAGGCTGAGCTCACGAATCTCACTAGCTGGTATTTATGAGCTTCTTAACCTACTCACCTAAGCCTATTGTGGTTTAGACAGTAATTTCCTTTGGGATATCCGATGGTAGACTTAAAGGATTCTTACTATACAAGTAGTGGTCCTTGAAAATCGGAAAGCCCGGGCATCCCACCCGTGCCCAGAACGTGCTCGAGGATCATATTTAAAGCACAAGTACTTGCTCATCTGCTGTCTCGGCCTTCAGAACCCTAACCCTGCGGTCTTTTCCCTAACTGCCAGTTACTAGGATATGATCGGCGGCTAACCTCAACAGTGTATGATACTGTCATCTGCAAGCGCTGGCGGAGGCTGCACAGCCCTACTGCTCCCGGAGCATCGCATATTCCCCACAAGGCTTGAATGGTCGATGAGCACTGGTCATTGTCTCTCCGAAAGAGCGGAACCCTAACCCTGCCCCACTTTCCTCAAACGTTGATGCACCCTTCACCTGCATCGCGGACGATAGGCCGTTGAGTTGTGACAGTTTCCACAGTCCTGATACGCGAAACATCGACCTGGCCCAAGCACAAGCAAGAGGGAGGAGGACCCACAGTGTTGTTGTCGGATACTGCGACTAGCAAACCCACTGAGCCACTGCTCAACCTCAGCAAGAAATTTTCGGAGAACAGGGGTGACCAACCCACCCATAATACCTTCTCGCCCCATTGACAGCGCCACCGGAGCCCCAATGGCACACTCAGGGATATCTCCTTTTCTCTTCCTTCCACATGGAATCATAGCATATAGGCTCACCGTTCCTCTCCCGATTCCTCGGGGTTTTCGCGGCTCCTATTCTACTCAAGCAGACTGTCCCAGACAGTCAACTTATTCTCATCCCTTTCTACCACCCACCTCATTCCGCACGGTTCTTTCTTACCAACAGATCTCTAGGCTTCATATCATATTGGGCCATCATGCCGACACTATCACGGTTTTATACGGAAACTCTCTTATACCAGGTCGAAAAGCGTGATTACGCAGGAGAAAAAGGGATTCCTGATAGCGATGAAGAGAGCCCTGTAGCGCTACTGGGGCTTGTTGTAGCTGCCCTTACTTTACTCGTTGGGATTGTGTCTCTCCGGAGCTCCCGATTTCGCTGCTGGTTGTCCCACCTTTTACCCTCGCAGCTCGTCACAGTATACCTACCCCTCCTGATCCCTCAGGCATACTTTATCTGCACATTCCGAGACTTACAATCCTACACAGAAAACTTCCGGCATTACTCTTCTAAAGCCTGCACCAGCGGGTGTTGCTACGGTGGACTTGCATGCTATCCCATTTTGGGGGATTCCTATACCCGCCCCTGTCTTCATTTACAGTGACTGCTCCAACGCCCATCCCGCCGACAAGCATTCCAACATCTTCCCTCAAGGCCATGGTTGTATTATCGGAGAAGGGGGCAGGGTACCACAGGGAGAGGAATTACCGGAGCCGAGAAGACTCGAGCCGGCAGTCCCTAAGCAGGCTCGATGGAAGTAGATATTTTGTCTAGCTTTAGGATCCAGAGCACATCGACCCTACGTAAGTAGAAGCCTACCTAACACCCCCCCCCTTCTACGGTTGCTACCCTACGCACAAGATGTTTCTGTTTAACATGTTGACCTTTTCCGTCAAATAGCTCCAGCAAACTCTTGCCCTCTATTACTGATTATGGGGAAAAGATAAGATATTGGAGGATTGGTCTTTTTCGATGTTACGGCGCTACGGCGGCACTTTGTTAAACGAGATTCAATGCAAAATAATTTGAGATAGTTCCGCTGCCCCTATCCCTTAATCTCCTCCCATTTCTACCCAAACCAGATATCTTGATTCCTGTTCTCCCCTTATGCTACGGTATTTTCGATGACATGACTCCGGGACCGACCCAGGTGCGATTAGTGTATTGTTATTCACCTCAAGCAAAAAGACAAAGTCACAAAACCATAAATATTCACTTTGGGCTTTAACGCGTAACCATTACGGCGGTTCAACCGCCGGCAGAATGTGGAAAGTCTGACGACATTGGACGGCCACGCTTGATCCACAACCCTTTTTTGCGGCGAAGACAACTCTGTGATTTAGCGCTAAGAGGGTTCCGAGCAACCCAAAGATGGTGGAAATAAACAAGGAAAAGGTAAATTTGGATTTTCCACAGAATCGATAGTAGAATTCTATTGTTTTCTATAGAACGGGGAGTATGAAAGGTGAACGGAGGTGGCTTATAGTAACGGGGAGGCTAAAAAAAGTTATGACAAAATCTCTCTTACCTGGGTCTTGGGCGGTTGCACAGCCAGAACTGTATCTCGTACATCAGGCACTACCTTCTTGACCACCCGGATACGGAAAGGGCTATGCCCACACTACTAGCCGCGGAGACACGGAGATAGAGATAGCTACTCGAGTGCATAGAGCTTAACTCGCTACCCGAGCACCAGTGGCCACAAGCGGATATTATAATACGTGTGGTTATATAGCCCATGTCACATACGATCCGAAATGTATAAATCGTTGGGAGTGGAGAGGATAGAGGATCGGGGTTGGCTGATGGACCAATGCTGGGTGGGTGAGTGGAGCAGTTGCTCAGTTGGCCGAATCGATCGACTGAATAATAAATGTGCGAAATTTTGGTTAATTGTGGAGAGCTGCCTGTTAGGCTCTACCTCGATTATCGAAAGGAACGGTAAAAGACTTTTGCGTCCTGCTGATGTACTTGGCGGTTTATAAGGTATTCGGACGCTTGGCACTCCGGCCGGTGCTAATAACGTGAAGGTGTCCGAATAATTTAGACATGGCCAAGTAGGAGATACGGTAGTCTTGGGAAATGTAGGTCATTTTTTCTAAATGCCCAGAGGAGGCAAGTTAATCTATTATTATTTTCCTGAGATGCGGGTTTCAGACTGAGAACCATCCCCTTGGCTCTGGGTGACTCTCTTCCTATGACTGCATTTCTCTCTTACATCCTCAAACCATCCATTGTCAGCAACTGCGGAATCATAATTAGTAAGGAAGCATATTCCGGTAATCACGAGCTCCTGCCTTGTATGGTGTGAACACGGGGGACTACTAGAGGCGTACAAGACGAACGGTGCCGGACCCTCCGGATCCCAGGGCTGGAAGCGGTTTGCTCCATTTAAAGCTGGCCCTCTCTGCCTATCGCCCGATAACACCAATCTCCAGACAATGCTGACATTCCGCCCCAAGCTTTCCACCCCACCCCCCACCAATTTCAGAGGTACAGCACTTGTTGACTTTTTCCTGCCCTTTCTGTTCTCTCACCCCACCTGCTCACTCCGGAGTCTTAAGGCTGTGCTTTGTGGTTGGCTGCAGGGGAGCAGGGGAGCAGAAATGAATGCGACAGATATGATTGGGTCATCCGGGCCCCACATCTGGCTTTTCTTTGTGTGATACGGTAGATAATATATTTATCAGGGATATTCAACGGAGAATCTAATACCGGGACTGGACAGGAAAATACAAGATAACGAGAAGGAGTATAATAACAGGGCGCCATTGGTCCTTGTAAGGTATACAGCCACTTTACGCTCGAAGGGTGATTGCTGCCACCTATCCTAATTGGCCTACCAGATGCCCCAGCCCTTCTCACTCTATAAGATAGTGACTCTTCCGACCAACCATTCCTTCATCAACCTTCTATCAACCTATACGATCACGCCATATAAGGTGGACCTCCCATTTCAAGTCTCGGGCTCTCCGTGCGGTGCGCATAGTACCATTTCCTAAGACACATGTTATAAAGGAATATCTAAACCCCTAGCCACTGGCAGTGGAGGTGTACTGTATCATAAATTTACTGTACGAGGCTAGCGACAAAAATGATCAGCCGGGTACGGGTATTCCTCTCTGGAAATAGTCATGTCCACAGCACACAAATCACCGACCCGGTGAAACAATCCAAACCGAATTTTCAGCTATATGATATGTGAAGCAATTCCTCCAGTTTACTTTGTGACCCTAGTATTCTGTATCTAAGCTGTTTGAGGGATTTTGAAGGGAGTAATAATCGGTTCATTGATCTTGGAGTGTTTCTGTAGATATTGTATAGGGGATGGACTAGCTTGACTCTTCTTTGGCTGCAAATTGCTAAAGGAACAAACAATTCTTTAATAAAACTGGTTCTTGAGGAGATATTTGAAAGAATTCTGGATCACACTATCGGTTTTTCGATGTTTTGACAGGTTTAAAATTTGCCGAACGGAAAGAGTGAAGTAGCATGGCTTGGGTAGTTTCATGCCCTTCTGCTCATGTCTTGTCTCCAGCCTCGTATGGTACAGTACAGTACAAGCATCGGGACCCAATGCATCAGTGGAGTACTCCTCTCGGCGTGCAGAAGCGCTGACAGCCGACAGCAGCCGCGCGGTAATCGTCTGCGAACTATTTGGTGAGGACATTGCCTTTAAACACAGAGTTCCTAGAGTAAAATATTCTGCTTTCCGTAACTGAGTTTACCCCCAGTGTAAAAAGGAAAAAAGGGACCAAGGCCTCCCCCATACTACTCGGGTATGCTCGAGTCGCCGGATTGATGCCGCCCATTTTTCTATAGTCACCCACCAAACAAAACGCGACTTCAATCTAGTGATATGAGCAGTACAGTACCCGGCACTTAATCAATTTACGAGTGCAACTAGCGATCGGTGAGACCGGTCACATCTGCTGTGTACTAGCAGAAAGCACACATTGCTGCAGGGAGTCTCCATCCAACCCGTTTTTGAAACACCAGAGAAATGCTTCTTTTTCCTTTTTTTCTGCCTTTTCCTCGTCACATTTCCTTGGCTGGACGTTCACACGGTTGAGGCACTTGCCGTACCGTAAATCTCGTGAAACCCACTACCTCCGGCCACCCCGCCAGAAGGACTAGCATTTTCTTGACATAGTAAAAGTCGGCCTGCTAGGTGTGTGGCATCCCACTAACCGTTATCCGCAATTGTATTAACCTACCAAACTAAACCTATAGTAGGATGACGAGCGGCTAGAGATAGTGGATTTTCACGAGATTTTACGGGACTGTACTCGAGTCCGGCACGGAATATCTGACGTTCGTACTAGGTGAAACAACCCATGTCGGCTCTTACCGTAAAATCTCGTGGGGTCCGCGACCTCCAGCCGCCTGTCATCCCACTATGGGTTTGGTTCAGCAGATTAGCGGAAGCGCGAGTACCGGTTAGCGAAATCCAATACATCTAGCCAGCCGATCTTTTACTTTATCAGGAAAACTGTATCAGGAAACCGCTAGTCCTTCTGGGGGTGCAGACGGAGATAGTGGATTTCACGAGATTTTACGGTACAATTCTGCGCAGATGAGGTGCCACTAACTAGGGATAAAGAAGCTTATTGACGCCGCCTATCTGTCAGCCTACCCAACCTTTGTAATATTACCCACTCAGAGTGCTTGGTTCAATGCCGCAACCCCAACCTTTCAACCACGACTACTCAGAAAGTATTGGAAATACCGAAGAAATGACCGGGAGGTCAATGATTGAGCTTCCGGCTATACGCAGGAGGACCCGTAAGAACGAAGAAATGATTGATAGAACAGAGATAAAATATATGAAGTGGAATCAAGAGATGTAGAAGTGAAGTATACAAGAGGTTAAGGAACCAAGCGAGTGAGTGAACGAGCGGATTGAAGTGGTCTGTTTTCTTGTAGAGTGGCTGCGAAGCTTAATGATTCGGCTCAGAAAGGAAAGGAGACAAGGAAAGCGAAGAGAAGAAAATTTAAGGAACAAGCCAGCAATACCAGACCGCCTGAGTATGACCAGGCATCTACATAGGCCTGCACAATTGCCTACACAGTTGCCTACACATATGCCTAACCATGTATAGCAGCATAGCATTAGTGTATAATCATCCGTACTGTGTATATTCAACAGAAGGCAGTAGAAATTAAGACCGATAATAAGTATCATACATTAGTATAACTAACCGAATACTTGAAGTGTGCGACAACACTCAATCATCCAACATCATAACCTTGCGTTCCACATCTGAACCCATCATGCCTCTATCAGGACACATGATTGAGGCAACTATTAAAGCAGTTGGTTAGTATACAAAGTATTAATTTAATAAGGCATTTATCATCTGAACCCATCATGCCTCTATCAGGACACATGATTGAGGCAACTATTGAAGCAGTTGGTTAGTATACAAAGTATTAATTTAATGACGCATTTATCCTATTTTCAAAAAAAAATGTTGCTTTGGTACTAGTCATGTATGTTATTAGAGTATTGAGAGGTCAAGTTCCAGACAGATGTTCGTCCTGTTTCATGGTGATGTTCGGCTAATTATGCAAATGTGCAATAGGTAAATATAAAAAAACTTTCATGCAAAACTACAAAATAGAAAACTCAATATCTTGTATACTATCTCTTTGCATTCAACAGACCAGTCACTATTCTAGGAATAGCCTCTCCTGGCCCTCCCACAAGCCTCCTTCAATATTCTGAGCCCAAGCCACATTGACAGCCTGTTCTAGACTCGGACATCTATTAATAGTGTCTAACTCCTCTTTAGTTTTGGAGAGGTTCTGAAGATAATGATGTAGTCTCCTCTTTACCCTCTTCCAAAAGTACTAAGCAGTATTGAGGCAATATAAATGAGCCAGAAGAACAAAAGTGTCTCCTGTAAGTAGAAAGGGGAAAGGCAAGTATGAATCACCCCTAAAAGAAATTCTGCCAAAATACCACTGGCTACACACCACACCCCCCGGGCCTATACCCAGCCACAGTGATCCCAAGCGGCCAGTCCGTCCG